TCTCAGCCCAGTCCTCAATTAGTTGCGCTCCTATGCGCTTTATGAGCTGGTAGATGGTAGACTCTCCAAGTCTCCATCTTTCCTGTGGGTATTTACTCCCCCCAGTTTGGAACTGATCTTACCTTTGTGGTCAGAACAGTTTGTTTGGGGCAGCGGCGCAGCCGGGCCTCTGAGTTTGGTTTACGTGAACCAAACTCCGACGAGGTTGGTTTGCTTGAACCAAGCCTCGTCGTGGCTAGCTAATCGCTGGGTCGGTGGGTGGGAGTTTCGTTCCTATCAACTTCAAGGGTGGGTGGCCGGCTTTTTGAATTTTGTTTCCTAAGAAACTCGAGACTTAGTGCAATTGATTGTGTGATCAATTTGAGCTTGAGGTAATGAGTGGTGGTGCTTTGCGAAATTTTTCCTGCGCAAGAATTTCCACCAATTCTTCTGAGCGCGGACCGCCAGCTTCACCACTCGGGGCTTAGCCTAAGCTCCACTAAGTCCCCCTGGGCTTTCGAACCAAGTCGTGCCTCCAGGGTTCTCTCAAAGAAAGACTGATACCGCATCTCTCCCCATCTATCGTGATCCCTTAGTGGTCAACAGTCGCGTCGGCGATCTTCCATTCAAATGAGTGTCCGTGTTTCTAGTGCAGTGATAGCCCTTTTCTGGGCACGGACTTCAAATGCGCAATTGCCCTTGATTTGCTTCAGAATTGGAGAAGTGGAAGGATATCCATTTGAACCTGATCGACCTGATGATGTTTGGCGAACTGCGCACCCGAATTTCAACTCTCCTCACTGGGGCCAAGTGCTTTGACTACGGCTACGATCCGTTTTATATATCAACGAGCCCTCCCAATACTGTCATCCACAACAACCTCCCGACCTGCGAATTTCTCCTTTTCTTTTATCGACTTGCTATCATTTGTCTTCGCTCGCTCAAGTTTCCCTTCATTTACTATCCAATACCTAAGCATACAAACAGACTATATTCTATCTACGAACTTCCCCGTAGAGATGTTTCAACATTTGAACATTTGCTTGATTGTCGCTCTTTTGGCGCTAATCGACCCGAGCCATTCAATCCCGGCCGGACCTAATGTCTCAGATACTCAAGATGATACTCGCACAATCATTCATTCCCGTTCAGCCAACTCCGCGAAGGTGATCTCAACCTGCCGAGATTCCGGGACGTTTGCCCTTACATTCGACGATGGCCCGTATATTTATGAAAACGAAGTGTCGGACTTTCTAAGCTCGCGTGGAATCCATGGAACCTTCTTCATCAATGGTTACAATTATGACTGCATCTATGACCAAAATATTGTCGACCAATTGAGACACAGTGAGCCTCTTCTCATTTCTATCTTCTACTCGCCTTACGCATGTTTTGCTCATACGCTCTTATATTTCAGCATTTTCGCAAGGACATCTGATTGGATCGCATAGTAAGTCTCGATAGTTTCCTCGGGAATCACGATATTTCCAGTGTAGAACTTATCTTGGCCCGCGAATATTCACCATGGTCAGCATGGTCACATCCCGACATCACGACCTTGTCAGCTGCCGACTTCAACATTCAACTTGACTTAGTTGAGACTGCGATGAAAAGTGAGTTGTATCCACATGATCGTCGTACACGGAGACTTTGAGTGTACAGTTACCCAGATTGCTGTGGCTTTTGCTTTCTTCAGAAATATTAGGGGTCAGGCCGCGATACTTCCGACCACCTTTCGGTAGGTGTCTCCACTCTATTTGACATGTCGCCGAACCTAAGGAATTTTTTCTTCTTGCGCTTTCACCATTCAGGCAGCATCAACGATGAAAACCTCCAGATCCTGAACAGCCGAGGATACAAAGTGATTACTTGGTCATTCGACTCGGGTGACTCGACCGGAGCTTCGACTACCACCTCCGATCAAGCTTATGATGAAATTTCTAAATCATTCCCCACCCCACAAATAGCGCTCAATCATGAAACACACGAAACCACCGCTTCTGAAGTGTCTCGACACGCTGTCCAAGTTTTGCAGAAGGCTGGATATCGGTTAGTCAGTGTCTCTGAATGCTTGGGGTCTGGTCGAAGTCAGGATGATTATTATTATGACATCGGAGAACCTGAGCAGCGTGACGTAAGCATTTTTTCCCGCTTTTTTTCGTCGTCTTTTGCAGTCATTTTCTCATCAAAAGATCCTCTTTCACTTGTAATGATACAGAGCTCCTGGACTTGTAACGGCACTCCCAAACCTTCCGCTTGATAGGTCAATCAGGATTTTTATTCGCATCTTCTTCTGTATTTCTTTATTAATATATTTTTAGGCTCTTATCTTTTAATCCTTTAAATAATCTTGGGCCTTATCTGAGACATGTAGAGTTCATTTTTTTCAAGCTCAGGCCTCAGCATATATGTATGAATCTGTTGTATTTTCTGCTTTTCGTACGCTTATGGCTATCTTGTAGAATCCCATCATTTGAGGATTGCAGATACCCATCAACTTCTCCCCAAAATAATTCTCAGATAAAACTTTTTCTTTCGACTCAAGAATTTAGGAAAGAGAGCAAGCACGCCCATGGTTTATATTCGGCCTTGCCTTACATTATAGTGCGATCAGATTATTTTGGTATGACAAAGGGAAGATAACATAGACGATGATGCACTCTTAGTTTGTCATCGCTCCAAATGTGTTTGCCCATTTGGCGAACACCAGGTGAGGTTGAACTTCAACGGAACTCTTGGAATATTGTATTTCACCGTACACAGAAATCAACAGGGCTCCTACATAATAAGCTGAATTTTTTTTCTTTGATTGGTGAAGCGTTTTGATAACTAAATTTGAGGTACTCAGAAGCCACACTTTGAGAATTGTGATACCTTATGTTATTATGCCTGGCAAGGGTGGGGCTTTGCTACGTTTGGGAACTTTGCGTGCCAAGGGAGCACTGCATGATGGTGCTTGTACAAACCCTCCTGGAGAACTCGCTTTCGGGGTACTGTCTTATGCAGGTATTGGCTCACGTCTTGCTGGAGTCAAATAATAAATTCAAATGGACAGGAAGGTGAGGAATATGTTTTGGCACACCGAAATCAGATGTTTTTTTAAATTATTGAATGTATCATTGCGAAATAGCTTTAGCAAGGAGCCAATGCGGCACAAAGTTTTGCTTACAAAGACCCCGTGATGGAACCAAACTCGGTAATTCGAGAATTGAGACCTCTGAACAAGGCAAGCTTGTGCCATGACTTCTACCTAGGGTTGGTGCTGTGGTGGTATCTGCACTGATGGTTGAGGTGAGGCGGTGTCCACTGAATGATTGTGCTCCTTTGGTTACCGATCAAGACGGCATACGGTAGTTTGCACGATAAACTCATTATGAGAGCAAGCATCCCAATTTAGGGCCACCGATCTGTCCCTGACGAGCTTGAATCACGCATCCCAGTTTAGGTCCACCGATCCGACCAGGTCGGACTTCGGGAGCCGGGAGATTAGCCGGGATAGAAACGGGCTGAGAGTTGTGAATTTGTTGAGAAGTAGGCATAGCGCAAGTTTGATTAGGTATGATTGTCGAGTGGTATACTGTGAATCGGTTTGCTGAGAGGCGATTGAGTGTTATGAGGGAAACGATTGAGTTGTGGTTGGGTAGCTTGTTTTCGGAGGATTTGGCGCGAAACTAGCTAGTATTTATAGTCAGAAATCGATTTGACAAGAAAAGTCAACCCTGTTAGCACAGACACTCTTTTGAAATCGCCATAGCCGGTATTCTGGCACCGATTTGGTTTTTTTGTCCTTGCAAAAAAGCAACGATTGGATTGGTGGATGTCGGCTTTTGTAACTTTCGCAAAGCTTTTCTTGCTGTGATCCCCTATTAGTTATTGTCTTTGTTCTCCTTGTACGCGCTATGGCGCGCTTTTCAACTTGCCATTGCTAAACCTAAGCTGCTATGTACAGGAAAGTCGTACATTTCTTTCATTTCATTTCACTACATCACGACAAACTTATAAGGCGGTGAAAAAGCCTTCACGCCAAACACAAATTTGAGAAGTCCTACGCGACCACCAGGCCCAGCCGATTAGTCCTAAGTCCCTCATCAGACACCCGAGCTCGCGAGGAAGCCGTGTATGACTGTGGGACTTAGTTACGTTAGGATCGCAGATGTTCGACCAGTGGTGAATCAGAAAATGCATTTTGCAAGCTCTAAGCATGCTATGACTCTGATGCCTAGGGCGGCGCTAGCCATCTTAGTGTGTTTTATTGGATGCATCAATCTCCAAGTAGCTAGCATTTTCCTTCAAAGACTCGCGTTTGCCTTTTTTCTATTTCCAAGACCGTTGACAAAGATAGAAGCTTTCCATTTTAGAGTAGTACATTGAGCACCCGGATGTCACCCCGATTTTGCCTCGGGGTTTGATGGAATAAGGATGTTCAATTATTAAGCACGCGATGAAAAAAGTAGAAAAAGCAAAGTCCATGTGCGCAACAAAACCTCATGACTACGTACCGGTAATGGCATAAATAAACACCTACCATGGATGTGTGCTGAGCTGATCAAGGTGGTCCGAATGCCTATTTCGAGGGCTTTTGATGGCGGTACCCCTTACATGACTTTTGACGCATTTGTAAATTTCTCTTGGTCATGAAGCACGCCCATGAAAGGGTTCTTTTCGAGTACCGCTTTTGCGAAGGCTACTTATGGTCGAGCGAGCTCCCCGCAACTTGAAGCCTTGCGTCCACCTTGTTGACGTCATGAGTGCGTAAACCTTCACAAAAGCTCTTGCGAGCTTTTTGAACTCGCGCGATGGATATGTATGTATTTCTTTGTTCGAAAAAGTCGTCGATCTTGCAAGCCTAACAATCAAGGAGCCAGCGCCACGTACATGCGGGTATAAAGGCGACGCAATTCAGCCGACGAGTTTCCCCCATCGACACTCACTCTACCTACAGAAACAACCAATTGAAAACCTAAACCTCGAATCAAGCATCAAACTCCACATCTAACCCTCCAAATCCTCTACACATCAATATGTCTTCTACCAACACCCAAACTACTCAACCCGGCACTGAAGTCGCCGAAACCTCTGGCCCAGAATACCGTGAAGGCCAGATTGGCGGTAGCAATCACATGTGCGTCGTTAATCGCGGAGGCCAAATCGGTGGAAGCAATCACATTTGCGTTCTGTCTCGCGGAACTCGCGGAGGTCAAATCGGTGGAGGCAATCACATGTGCGTCGTGTCCAAGCAAATAGGTGGTAGTACCAACAGTTCCCACTGTAGCATTAATTGAAGGGGATGAGACGTGGCGCAAAAGCCATCTTCAATTGTGGGACAATCTATTCTCCCAGCTTGTCACATCTCGCTTGTCCAATTTCGATGATTGATTTTCAAAAGTAATCGCCAAATTCTTCATCTCACGTTGCACTGGTCTCCGTCTTCTTTCACTCCCTTCACTTTCTGACTATGAACCTCACAGTCAGTATTCTCGTTCAGTTACTGTAGTAGCCCTTCCCTATTCCGAAGGTTTGCTTGCTGTTTCCCGAACCCTTCAACAATCTTCGGAGCGTCTTTTCGTTATTCTTAGTTTTTTGAGTGAGCAGGAGTGTTAGGGTGGTCCGCCCTTGTGCAAATTATGGCATACAAGACTGTTACAAGTCACTTTCACAGACTTTGAAGCCCAGACATGTACATTTATTCATTCACATAGTGCTGGTGTGGTTGTCATCATACAAGTTGCAAGAGTGCCGTTCCCAGACAAATCCAAGTACAAAACACCCCTTGGA